ATGCCTAGGCAAAGGACCTTGTATCACAGAAAGCTCAGTACGCCCTCACGAAGCAAAGGAAGAAAGCAAAGTTACCTCGCCCACAAACAAGTTGGTACATCCCACGTTGATGTTGGTATTCACCTCAGCGAGCTGAAAGCTGGAATCCACAGGCCCTCTTAATTAGTGGGTGAGAATCATAATTGAGCCTCGATGCTCACGTCGAAGAGTTATGCGCAGCCGAAATCGCGTCGCAGGTGTCGAAAAGACTGAACGGTGTAATTGCGAGCACAGTTAGCTACTTGGGCAGCGCTGAAGTGGAATCCGGCGCTGATGAAGAGAGCGAGACCAGGGAGGATGAACATATCAGCGAAGGGGTTGTTTAGTGGGAACTGGGGGAGAACCTGGTGAAAGGTGGTGACCCATCCCTCCTTTTATATTCCAAAGGCCTGACTTGCTACTCGGTTGGAAGACAGACTCGGCGGGATAGTGTGACCGCTTTACGGAATCCATTTGCTGGGAGATACATGTGGACCAGACGGTTCCGAGTGCAATGACACAAAAAATAACTTTCCGTCAGAGGGTAAATCGCGCCTCGGGAGAAGGTGACTCGTTCATCAGAGCAACTAGACCAGCCCCAGTGATCTACCGAGTCGTAATATTAGCATCGCCGAGTTACAAAATCGAAAAATTCTCATGGTGAGGTACAAGGAGTAGCCGCCGTTCCCGAAAAAAGCAAAAATTTACGCGTCTGAACTTCTGATCAGAACGGAAGGGAGCTCGTGATGGTTTGAATAACTGGAGGTGGTGCTGCCAGCAAGAGTGCGGGGTCACCGTCAAACACGAATGCATGTTCCAGGCTGCTGGTTGATGATTGTCAGTGATGTCCCTGACACGAGCATATTGTGTCGTCTTTGGACTACTGGTCCCGTGTTTTTTCCAATAGTGAGGTTTGGTGATATGAATCAAGATAAGTCTTTCAGAGAGCAAGCGCCAAAGTGTCCTGAATTAGATGGGAAAAATAATGTGAGAACAGGGCTGTACCCGAGTAAGTCACGTATTCATTGGCATATAGACTGATGAGCTACAGAAGAGTTTTACACCTGTTCTATAACCCGAGCTCTGGCGCTATACGATCGTTGACGAGACTTGCAGCTACCTCGGTTATTTAAAGGAGGACATCGGATAGAGACTGACTCACACACCTAGGAACATGAGAAAGAGCTGGCCTGTTCATTGAAACCCGTCCCTACGAGGGTAGAATATTCCTCAGTGACCTGGAAGGTCGTCCCGGCGCAGTTCACGCCGCTAGGCATCGTCTTAGTAGCCAGTCCTAGTATGAGTTACAGGTAGTAGACCCACCTGTAGAACGTGCACACAGTCGAAACATCCGGAAGGATAGAGGAGACGGCTTTGTTCCAGGAATCTCCAGCCGCGAAGGAGATGCAGGTACCCGCCTCAGCGGAAACGTAGGCACAGGACCCTCGGAAGCTAGGGTCGACGCAGAAATATACACCCGCAGGCTGGAGTTGGAGATGAGATAAGTGTAACTAGGCTCAAATGACAACTACCTACTGCTGCATATGAAAAGGCGAGGGTAGAGAGGATGAAGGCAGCAGCGGATTTGGAAATGAAGTACATGTTGGCCGACGTGGGTACCGTTTGTTCATGGCGAGTCATTTTATAAGAGAATGCTAAAACGTAGAAGGATTAGATGTGTTCGGGCTGTCTGTCAGTGAATGGTATTTTGACGCATCGCTGGCTGAAAAGCGCACTAGCGTTACACCGGATATTGGAATATCATCCAAGAAGCTCACTGATCACGAAGGGTGCAATCAGCCTGTCAGAACGCTTGCCATAGAATGTATACAGCGCTAAGGACGAAGTTTTCTGATGTCAGAAGCACAAATAAGCGCACCGAATCTCCAAGTGAAGGGGGGCTGAAATGTCGACATGTACCAGAAGGTCCGAGAAATACATCCGGCTGGGTTGCGCGCTTGATAAACCAAGTCCATAGTCCATAGCATTGGACCTTCTGGTCCTAAACCAGTGCAGAATCGTAGCTTGAAGAGAACTACTCATGTTTCCGATGATAACGGTGACGCGGGGATCGAATAAGTAACAATAAATGATCAACGTTCTTGATTTCTGGCTCGCTCCGAGGTAAACCTCGAAGATTGACACTGTGAGAGGATGTAAGAAAAGTATCCGCATTGCCGCCGTTCGAAGGACATCGTGATGGTCCAGATTTATAGATAATGCATTTCTGTGTCTTAGCGAAACGCTCAACTTTCGGGCAGAAGAATTGGTACTTCCATGTAACTTGGATATCATTAGCGCACCTTTTCTTCAGCTTCAACCTATACATATCGTATATCGTGAAATTGTCTGCACCCTAATATCATTACAGCAGTTCAGTTTATGGAATTTCTTCTTGCAGCAGTCCGTGAATATTAAATGTGCGTTTCAGCTCCTCTAGAACTAGTAAGAGTATCTTAGTATCATTCTGCGATTATCACAAAATCACGCCACATACTGCTCTTCATCTTTTTCCAATGCTTCGGCGAGCTCTTCAGCTGAGGGATGTATTGCATGGGAACCACAGAGATAAAGTCTATCCAAGCCACAGATATCGGGACAATGATAGCCTGGCGGAGAGAGAAGGCAAATTTATCGCGGTCTTCCATCTTATCGTTCACATGTAGCCACGAATCCGCTATCACGATTGATGTCAGAAATGAAAAATTCGTTGAGTCGGGAACAAGAACGCACTCCATAGAAATAATTCTACGGTTGTTCTATGGAGAGATGTTTCTTGCACGCTCCATGTGGCGCGAGTGTTGGAAGGCTTTACGAGGTGATCTTCAGAGCTAGAACAGTCTCGTGTGCAGTGAGAAGTGTCATTGCTGCCAGCCATTGTAAGTTAGAAGGAGATGGCCGTCGTTTTCAAGTTGTGGAGCAGTGGAGAGAAACATCAAGAGGCGCCTGGATGCTGTACTAAGCCTCGTGGCTCACTCGTGTTCCTGTGTTCCTGCTGCGAATTTGCTGTGGCTTTCTCGTAGAACATATCACTGCAATCATTGTTATAGGCGCCTCAGATAGATAGGGTTGGTGGTCAACTCTGCACCGTGTCGTTACATCCGTGGGCAAGTTTCAAGCGATTACATAATTTGACTCGTTTAGGCCGAGTTTGTGCATCAACTGCTTTCCACCCTTCCACGAATAGAACGACCAGGATACAACCAAGAACGGGAGCTCGGACGAATTGCGACCAGTCCAGATACATTTGGAACGGCAATGATTTCAAAACTCTCTCTGTTTTTCTTATAATCGGTGCGGCCACCTCAGACTTTCGATATCAGAGTCGAAGTCACTTGTTTTCTGCCAGTGGCATTCAAGTTGTATTCTCGCCGCCTCAGCTGCTGGGCTTTGAAAGACAGATGTAAAGTGCTTCTGTAAATATACCTCCATTTTCTCATGAACGGTCATAAACCAATTCATTCATCAACGCGTCTGGAACTCGTGCTGGTGGCCATGTACTTTCATGACTAAAGATAATCGAGAGTGCTCACACGAGAAGGGAGTACGGAGTATGAAGTTCGCCGAACTTATGCGAAGCGCGCGTCTATGTTAATGACCGTGTCCGTTAAGTCCCCTTCATTGGCAGCCAGGCATCATGATCTCTCATTGTGCGCGCAATTGACCCCACAGCATGTGCTGGCACCCCGTAATATGATCATTCGGTAGCTTCATGAGCCTGCCTCCGGCACATTTGCCAGCTTTCTACGTATAAATGGATGGACCCTTCTGTAGTGTCTTCGCCAGTTCTAAGATGTGGTTCATCCCCATTTTTGTTTTTCTCTTTACTGCCGTTCTCAATTTTGGTGCTGCCCAGAGCAACTGTGCTCGCAGGCATACAGTTGTCGCTGGAGACACTTGCGATGGCATTGAAGCGACGCTTAATGTTTCTACGTACGGGTTTCTTCATCCCATTGCCTACTTTAATCTGGCTTACCGAGCCTTATAGCTTCCAGCTTGCTCATGTGAATACAGCTATTGATGCGGGGTGTGACAATCTGCTAATTGGTCAAGTATGTGTACATCTCCGAATACCTTTGTGTCCATAGCTAATGATCAACTCTATGAAGGTGCTTTGTTTGGGGATAATCGGTCAAGATTGTAACCAGACCGACATCGTCGGAGCTGGAGATAGTTGTAGTGGTATCGCCACCGCGAATAACATTGATCTCGCAATTCTTCTTGTCAACAACAGGAATGTCAATAGTGCTTGTTCGAACCTCTTGTTCGGCACGGTGAGAAACGCGCTGTCGAATGGTTTGGCATTGAACTGACTTTTGATAGGTTCTGTGTGTGGCTACCGGAATTATTCCATATACATGAGGGACAGGGCTAGTCGAGAAAGCGAGACCTTGGACTTTAAACGCAGGAGCATTTGCACATTCATCTATGGATAGCTTGAAATGAATACTGAAGTAACGTGAGCGTCAGTGCACGTCGAAGTGATATGGCTGGGCAAGAATACTGCTCCAACTTCGCACAAAAAAATCCCTCTCATTTATATTTTCATGGACATTGTCGGAGAGTCTGGCAACGAATGAGCAAATTCTTGACGATCAGAACTTTGTCTGAATTCACTAGCTAGTATTGGTAATGTTTAAGTTAGAGGGTCACATAAGACCTAACGAGAAGGGTCTAACTATATTACTCAGGGCTGAGGGATTTCCGTTTTGAATTGTATGGCCGAGCGGACAAAGCACCAGATCTGTGATGGTTTCAAGTGTGTGATATCTCGAACAATACCTGTGCTCATCTGAATCTGCTCTGACAAGTTAGCGCAGCTTCCACGAGCAATTGAATTCGGAATGGTAGTACGTTGTCAAGCTCGCATATCTATCTGAAGATTGTTAACGGGCACTCCTGGGAAGGTGCATATCGACATGTTCGTTATGATTTCAGTGAACGATAGCTATATATGCCACTATCTCTGAGAAATCATCAATGGTGAGATGGCCGAGCGGTCTAAGGCGCCAGACTAAGGTTGATCTTACGATCTATCCTCACAAGGACCAAATCACTTGGTGATTAGCTAATCTGGTCCGAAAGGGCGTGGGTTCGAATCCCACTCTCATCAATCTTTTTTGCCATTTTGGCTTAGATCCAAACTGCAGTGAACTCAAACGAGTTACAACTTACGAGTCTCCATCTTCAAAGCTCAAAGCTCAAATATCAGGCCAAGCCGCACCGGTTAATATGTAACTTTGATGATTGCTGCCTCAAGGGGAAAAGTTGGATGGTTGAAGGCTTCGATTTCAGAGTCTTCACTTAGTGATCTGGATGTTCAACTACGCATTGCTTCCCAGGAGACATACCATTCTCTTAGTTCTCAATGTCGCTCCCCTGCCGTCTATTCTTCTGTTATCTGTGATAAGAGCCATATTATCCTGACAACTACTTGTGCGTAACTGCAACATGGTCGCTGACACATCCTCTTCGAAAACCAAACGCAAGAACAAACTGAGAATAATTAGTGACGGATTCGTCTGTCTTATGAAGACTGCTCTGGCTATGTTTCCTGGTCTCTGTCTAGGATTGTTTCCCTTTTCGGTTGCACTCACCATCAGGGACGGTATGTTTTCTTCCGTTGTACCTACTTGGGATCGATTAGCTGTGCATAAACACCGAAGGGTTCAGAGTCCCCATAGGGTCGGGTGTATATGCAGGACTTCGAAGGCGGATTTGAAAGATGCAATGATCAATTTGTTTTCGGAACACTGTGTATACAGGGTACGAGACCCTTTTTCTACTAACGTTCATGCAGGTTGCGTTGGTTTCCTTAGCCTATAACATCTGTCTTTTCGACAAACCTAGGTTCAAGATGGGTATTATAAAATAGGGAAGCGCTTACTCGACGTTGCTTGGGTGACAGAGGTATCGATCTCTTTTTGTTCAAGTAGGACGTCGTCTCGCTAGCTACTGCCTCTAAATGATGGGACGACCTTAGTATGACTGTGCGATCTGATGACGATTTGATCTTACGGTAAAATGGCTGTAGTGTCGGCGGACATTACCCGAGAAGGAGACATAAATGTCATTGAACTCGGATCTAACATGGAACAGGTTTGTTACAATGTATTCGATGTCGTGATAGAAAAGGTACATAGCCCCTTCGTATATTGACCAGTGGGGATCTTGAAGTTACGGAAGGTCTATTGTTCACTAAGCACTTGGATCGACTATTCAGCTCGAGTCTATATCCTCCACGATGGCTGATACAGGTTGTATCAAATCCGGAGCTCAATCTGGTACTTGATTCTGCTTCCAAGTCAGTTTATTGCAGTTCCATGCTGGCACGCTTGACGCTGCCTTGCTCGGAGGTTATGATCCTTACGCGTCTGACTCATTGTTTGACTTGTATTCGTGTCATAATTGTTGTTTACCCGTCGATTTCAAGACGTTCATATTGTTCCCTTGCGGAATGACATTGTGATAAAGTACTTGTACAGCGTACATCATTAAATAAATTCAGGTATTCGTGATATAGCGACAAAAAATGGCTAAAAATACAAACGAGGCAAGTTAACTAGTGATATAAGTCTATATGATTCTATCGTGCAAGTACGCTCTATCTGGTATGCTCTAAATTGTCAGAAGTTATTGCCGTTTAACAAATATTTCCCTTCCTTTTTGCGGGCAAAGGCAGCAGCGATAGCTGATTAAAGTCGCAGTCGAAAGATGTCATGCAGTCTTCTATAGGCTTGCTGCATATAGGGAGCGCTTCCTCAAGATATGTCCCCATTTCCACAGTGACTGTTGAAGAACAATCAGCAAGCAGAACAACAGAGACATGAATCCGACATACCCAAAACACAGGCATAAGCAGGAATGAGATTACCAGCGAGTAGGGCAGAGCCCGGCCCAAGACCGAGGTTCACAAAGAACGCACGTCCAAACAGTGGGAACACACTCGCAATAGGCTGACCGGAACAGATCGTTGCCAGCAAGGACCGACGCCGCGTAAGTAGGGTACGCTGACGTGATATATGTCAGGATGCTCTGGAAAGTGAGGTAGATCCCTGGGAGGTAGAGCGCAGCCCCGATGACGGGAACCATCCAGTGGATGCTCTCTTTCGACGTGAATCCAAAGATGAGAACACTCGTCGGGATGAAGATGCTTGCTATTAGACCGATTTCTAGGCGGATCTCGGGCGCAATGTCGATGCCTGCAGCAGCCGCTTTGGCATATCTAGGCGCGATGTGGTATTTCAAGTAGAAGACATATGCGGTGTACTGGAGAACGATTGTCAGCATAGGAAATCATTAAGAAACATGAGGACGCTTACGGTGATGGCACCAGACACGACGAATGCGAGGAAGGGCAAGCCACTGAGACCAAGATTGAAGTAGTAGATGTCCGTGAATACAAGCGGGAACGCTTCAAACCACAAGTAAAAGATCGCGTCTGATCAAATATCGTCAATTAAAAATCCTACCAAGACTGTGTGGGAATTACTCACAGACGAATCCTAGGTAGACGTTGGCGAACATCAAGACAGGCTCCTTGGCAAGAATGAAGGGACGGATCAGCGCCTCCTGCATTACCGCTCCAAGAGACTCGCCCTCCTTATCCTTCTCGCCTTGAGACCTCAAGTTCCTGGTTTCCTGTCAGTTTCCTCAGTCGCTGTGCCCGCTTCAGTAGGATCGTCGGCTCGTAAGTCTCCGGAAGAAGTAGAAGGAGGAAAATAAGCGCGAAACCGGCGATCCAGAGGAAGCTCATACTGAGGCCACCTCCACCCGTTCGCCTGTGCTGCGAACCCTCCGATGACTGGACCAGTGATCGGACCCGCTACAGCGCCAAGTAGCCCAGATTCCCAGAACGTATGCGAACTGATGCATAGGGTAGATGTCCGCCATCGATGCACCTCCTGTAGCGAGTGCGGGACTGCCGACAAACCCGGTGAGGAACCGGAATGCCAGGACCGTGCTCATGTTTCTTGCGACCGCGACGGGGACCTGGAAGACGACGAATAGGAACAAGGTGACCATGTACACCGGGTTACGACCTATCCCCGGAAGTTCTTGAAGAGGTGCTAGAAACATGGGTCCGATACCGTATGCTGGGTAGAAGTGTCAGTACTGCGCGAATTGGAGCTCGACGCAGAAAACTTACCAAGAACATAAAGAGAGAGACCGAGAGTGGCCGTAGTCTGAGATACATTGAAGTCCGCCATCAGGCCGGGAATTGACGGGGTGTAGATCGCTGAGCCAATATACACGCTGAAAGTGAGAAAACTGATGCTGAACGCGACAAATGCGCGCTTTGCTGGAGACCAATTTCTAGATGTATAATTCAGAACCTACATCCGATAGAAGCAGAAAGCAAGCAAACCTTGGATTCTCTTGATCATCGTCCCCATACCACCCTACAATGTATGGATCAGAGTTGAGGGCAGTGTCAATCTGTTTTTGCTTCTCCGCGTCAAGATCGACAGCTAACGTGGACTCCCTCGTGAGCTGTACTCCTGTGCCTCCAGACTTTTCTAGGTCGCCGCAGAGTGTTGTTGCGTCGGAGTCTGGAGATACGACTGTGGATGGTCTTTGAGAAGATGGAAGGAGAAAATGTGGAGGAACCACAAATTCTGGTCGCTGATCAGCATAGGGAAAGATACGGCCGTTTGAGATGTAGTTGATGGCCTGGCCGATGGTCGAGTCGCGGATAATATCTTGGACCATGGTGAGAGAAAGGACGGCCTAGTGAAGATGCGTCGTTTCTCATTTTGGCAGAAAGCTTTTATATACGCGAAACAATCCTGACAGTAATTCAACCGGTGTTGAAGATGAATTATTCATCCTACCTCGAATGGTTGGTGATCAAAGCCGGCATTCCCCCTTTCAGCCAGTTTACATTCGTCATCATGTTCGGTGCTTTCCGTGTGGGCTACAAAACACTCCTATTTGAGTCTGTCGCCAAGAGAACGCACAGTAAGCTGGAGCAAGCCAAAATTGGCGGGAGACTCGAAACTTGACAGTCAGATTATCGATGCTATCAGTCAGGATGGTTAGGAAGCTCTGCACTCGAATATGTGCCCCAGTGATTTCCTGCGTCGTTAGAGACTGAGCCCTGAGCGCTAGAGTCCTTATGTTTACCGGTAAGGTGAGAGGAACTCGAATCGCTCCTGATGATAAAACATACGAGTCGGCCGCGTCCTGAATTCGGTACAAAAGTAGATTTGCGACAAATTCGTTACATTTTGCCCAATTTGCGCGGGAAAAATTCCACTGTCATCAATTGTTTAGTTCTGGCAATTTAGAGAGTTGATATACTTTGGGGACATTCACACCCAGAGTGATATGATATCAGCGAAGAGTTGAAGGAAACATGTTGTCGGTTTTGCCGACACCGGCATCGGCGATTGCCGAGACGTGTTGTTTGCAAACATTGTGGCAGTGCACAAAATTTCCTCACTTTTCCCTTCCTCGGTCGCGTCTTGGCTAGGAATTTGCCATTCTGCATGACCGCCTTACATGATTAGAAGGGGTTTATATGTAGGACGATGGGCGCAGGAAACAAATTTCACCCGTACCTTTACCTCAACCATCGCACAATGGAACGGCAGCGAAGGGAGTCACCAGAGGCTTCTCGATTCCCTGAGCAACCTCTCTTCGTTACTCTCGTCTTCTGAGCGCGGAACGGATTCTGTGCAGAGATATGTGAACAGGAAACTCGACCATCGTGATGCTTATACCTCGTCTCGGGATCTCGTCTTCCAGAAGATCCTGACGCTGCTCGTTCAGCAGCGGTCTTGGGACGTGGGAATATCTGTATATGACCGAATGGTGGCGGAATCACTGCAGGTGCCAGAACATCTGCAGGCTTGCTTCACGGTTGCAAAGTGGCTTGCTTTGTCGCCGCGGAAGCAGGAGAAGCACTTATTGGCTTTTCATCGGATATGTGCAGCGTCTTCGTTCAAGGACAAGCAGCTGTTCGCTCTCTTGGATGCATTTGGCTGGTCGTCGTGTGCTGCCGAGAGGGTGCAGCTCGTGGAGACATTTATCGAGAGCAAGGGGGAAAGTTATATTCCATCGGCCGAGGTCGTTAACAAGCTTGTCGATCTACAGACACGGGCAGGCGAT